CCGGCCCCCAGCCGCAGGCCCCTGGACTGGGAAGCCTGGGCGAGTGGCTGGGATGCTCCCTCCCTTCCTCGGAGGGCAGCATCCCGCTGCCCCGGTGGGATAAACACCCGCTTCCTGCCCTTAATCAGCTCCAGAGGGGCTGGGGGGGGACGACAGGGGGTAAAAAAAAAAAAAAAAAAAAAAAATCTCTGGAAAGAAAAACTCATTTCCTGCGACAGAAGAAAAAGATAAAGTCTGGGCTCATTAAAGTGAACTTTACTGGGGAGAGACGGGAAAGAGCCAAACACAATGTCCTTGAAATTTCCTCCGCGTGGCTCCGTCCACGAAAACAGGATAAAGCCGCTTCCGCTGTCTCTGCCGGAGTGCGCTGGGGGGAGTGGGGCCGGGGGTTCGGCTACAGGCTGTCGAGGTGGGAGCAGACCTGCTGGAAAACCTCCTCCACGGAGCCCTCGGCGTTGAGCTGGGTGGGGAGGGGTTAGCTGAGGGGCTCACCCGAGACCAGAGCTCTTCCAGGGATGGATTTTGGCCATGGGTGGAGAGATCAGGGCCAATTTAAGACAAAGGGGTGCAGGCCCAGCCTTGGAGGGGTCTCCGTGTGGGGTACCAGAGGGGTCAAGCCCACCCCGAATGAGTCAGGATTGATTTTTTTCCCCCTTCCCTTGTCACCCCCATCCATCACTTCCCCTGCCCTCAAACCACGTGCGCCCCGAGCCGTGGGGCTGGAGGGTGTCAGCACCAGCCGTGTCCCCGCTTACCTGGCGGACAATGCCTCTGCTCTTGTAGAAGGCGATGACGGGCTCGGTGGCCTTGTAGTAAGTCTCCAAGCGTTTCTTGATGGTCTCCTCGTTGTCGTCCACCCGCCCGCTGGTCTCGCCTCGCTTCAGCAGGCGTTTCACCATCGTCTCCTTCCCTGCGTCCACATAGAGCAGCAGCGTGGGGGGGGCGATCTGTGGGCAGAAGGGACACAGTTGTCACTGAGCCAAGCTGGCACGGGTCTGGTTTGGGGTGCAATGGATGTGACAGATGCTCCCACACCACCCTCTGCCACCCTCCATGTGGGTCTGGGTCCACCAGGACACCCCAGACCCACGCAGAGGAACAGAGGGACTCCACAGCCAAGTCCTGGCTCTCTATCATCACCATCAGGCCCAGCGCCATGGTCACCCTCTGTCAGCCTGAGGACGTCCTGGAGAGGTGTCCCCCCACCGCACCCAGGGCACAGGCTGTCCCCAAGGAAGGGGGACCTGCTGGCTTGGATGGTGCCCAGTTTAGACCCCTTTGGGATGTGATCTTGGCTGGGATGGGGAGGCCAGGCTGCTGCCGGAACCATGGAGATGCTCTGCATGGATGGCAGGTGGCATGGCATGGCATCAGCCCTCACCTTCTTCTCAAACTCCTCTCCCTGCTTCACCTCGCGGGGGTAGCCGTCGATGAGGAAGCCCTTGGACACGTCTGCTTTGGCCACCATGGCGTCCCGCAGCATGTCCAGCACCGTGTCCTGGGGAGGGGAGGACAGAGCTGCCAGGGACAAGGCCAGCAACCCCAATCCCTGATGCAACCTCCCCCTGGGGTGGCAGGCATGGAGGTAGCTCAGGCCACGTGACAACCATCACCGTGGTATCTGGTGTCCCCACAGCCACCCCTGCTTGCCTGTCCCACTGTGTGGCAGCCTGTGTGGACTCACCAGGGGCACGAGCTCGCCCTTCTCCATGATGGCCTGCAGCTTCTTGCCCCGCTCCGAGCCTGAGCTGACCTCTGCCCGCAGCAGGTCCCCCGTGGAGAGGTGGGTGTAGCCATACTTCTGCACGATCTTCTCACACTGGGTCCCCTTCCCCGAGCCGGGGCCACCTGCAAGTCACCCAAGGGTGCCAAGCCATGGGTAAGGAGCCAGAGGGGTATGTGGAAGCAGCAGCACAGACCCACAGGAGTCCCCGGAACCTGGCGGAATGGAGGTTGGCATCCCCAAGCCCAGCACCAGATGGATAGGGAGAGCTGTTCCTGGGGTGGTCTGGGGGGTGCCAAATGCTTGGGGGTGGCATGGGCTGCTGGCAATCGGCACGTGGGCACCAGGGCATCACTACCTTGTTGGCAGTTGGGACACCACCACCACCCCATCAGCACCTGGATGTCACTGTCCCAGTAGCACCCAGGGTATCAGCACCCAGGACACCGTTGCCTGATGGCACCCATGAGATCACCACCCCGCTGGCGCCTGGCCACCACCCCCCCCATCAGCTCCAAGGACATCACCACTGCCTGATGGCACCCAGGAGATCACCCCCAACGTGTTTGCTGTCACATCATCTTAGGCGCAGCCACCCCATGCCGGGCCAGAGGTGCCCTCAAGTCCCAGCACACCCCACTGCAGCCTTAAGGAGCTGGGCCGGAGCCACGGCCACCCCACAGTGCCTGGGGACAGTGGAGGTGCCACAGCCTCAGCCTCCAGCCCTGACTCCCCAGCCCCAGGCACGGGCTGCTCCCCAGAAGTGCAGGGGGAAAGGACTGGGCCGTACCCTTGACCCCACCAGCGACAGGACCCGGACACAGACTTACCCACCACGAAGATGATTTTGTGGTGCTTGAGTTTTTCTGGAGGAGAGGAAGGCAAAAAATAATTATCAAAAGCCAGAAAGCTCCTCAGGGAGCGAGGTGTCCCCAGGGGGTGCCAGATCCAGGACAGGCACCCCTGGGGATGGAGGGGACTGATCCCAGCGCCCTGGGCGGGGGGAGAAGGTGGAGAGGGAAGCAGCCATGTGTTCCCCTTGTCCTCATCACCTGGGTGGGTTGGGACAGCCGGGCTGGACATGGCTGAGCACAAGGACCCCATGGCGCCTCGGCCGCAGGGCTGGAATCCCACTGCTGCGCCGTGTCCGGGAGATGGTCACTGTCCACGGCTCCACCGCGCGCGGGGACCGGCCAGATCCATCCCTGGGGCTGGCTTGTCACACCGGTGGGCTAACGGGGGCTGGGGCAGGCTCAGCTTGGCGTGGCCACCTCGAGCGCCTGGCGTGACACCCGGCACTCCCTGAACCCCAGCATCGGTCCCTGGACCTGGTGGCCATCGTGCAGGTGGCACTAGCCACCCTGTCTCCTGTCGAACGCCCAGGCGCAGCTTTCCCACCACCTGCAGGATCCAGCCCAGCCATGGTACGGGGTGACGCCGGGGTGCGACGCTGCAGGGGCCGGCAGGGCTAAAAATAAAGCTGAGCCGCTCCGGGGCCACTCTCCCATCTCCTGATTACAGCCGGCTGAAATTTCAACTCCTCCAGCACCCGGCGATCCCGAGGACTGGGGATGGAGCCAAGTGGCTGGCAGGGACCAAGGGGACGTGGGGCACGTGGGGGATAGACAGAGCGGAGGGATGTACGGTGGGGGACATGGGGGAGCGATGGAAGGAGGGATGGAGGAGCGGGATGCAAAGGGAACCGAGGGGATGGATGCAAGGGACAAATGGGACGGATGCAAAGGGGATGGAGGGGATGTGTGGAAGAAGGACAGATGCATGGGGGGATGGCGGGGACAGATACGGGGGGATGGATACAAAGGGGGCAGGGAGATGGACGCAAAGGGGGACAGATGCAGGGGGGACAAGGGGATGCATGCATGGGGGATGGATGCAAGGGGGATGGAGCACTCACCTG